CGAAATGGCCTACAAGGACCAATAAGGCCCAAATCCATTATTGATCTAACCCAAGAAGGCCCAATGTCCAAAAAGGCCTGAAATACTGAATGGTCAACCCTAGTCAACTCCTGGTACAAGGTCCAAAGCCTAAAAAGTCAACAATCCAAGAATGCCCAACCTGGTCGAGTACGCCCTGCGTATTCATCTGGTACGCTAAGCGTACTCCTGTTGGGGCTAGTACGCGTCGCGTACCAGGTGGGTAAGTCCAGCGTACTCCCCTGTACTCCAAACTTCTCCAATAAGCACTTAATCGCTTCATCCCTTGCTCCAACTCTCCAGTCTGACTCCTTAAGGTGACTTTTCAAGTAAAGTTGGCAACTTTACTAACATGAATGGCTTAATGGGACCCTAGAGCTCAAAAGAGCTTAATGGATGGTCTTAATTCATGATTGAGCTCAAAATCTCCATAAAGCTTTCACCTTTATGAGAGAGGGAACCTTAGAATGTCCAGATCTACTAGTTTGAGTCCCTAAAACGACCCTAGCCCACCAAGACCAAGCAAAAGGGACTAAAATGGCCAAAAACCAACCCAAAGTAGATCTATGAAATGAATGGCCAAGGTAGAGACTTTATACCTTGAAAGTCTTGAAATGGATATGTTAGCACTCGATCTCCAAGCTCTTCTCCAGAGGTTAAGCCTTTCACCTCCTTCTCCTCTTGCACAAACCACCAAAAGTCTTCTTTCAAGCTCCAAGCTTCATCCAAGGCAATCTAGTGTTTTATGGACCTAGGAAGGGGTGGTCGCTGACTTAAAATGACCTAAGAAGTGGTATAATGTTGCTTATATAGGGTAGAAACCCCGCTGTTAGGGTTTTGGTCTGAAGGGAGTACGCCCCGCGTACTCCTTTGTACGCACTCATGAACCACCCGCGACCAATCACCTTTATACGCTGGGCGTACCCCAGCTTACGCTGGGTGTAGCCAGCCAAGCACGTGCATGCATCCTTGCATGCATGAGACTGATTTGCAAGCTTTTCCATCCAGGGACCAATTCTGCCAATAACTTCAAAGTACCATAACTCTCTCATCCTATGTCCGTTTCCAACGAACCTTATATCCATGAAAAGGTGGCGAGAATCCCTACGCTCCTAACAACACACCCAAGCCTTAAAACCCTTCAAATAAAACCCAAAACCCATAAAAGACCGATATATCAATTTACAGTCATACCCTTGGCTTTCGAAGACAAAATCGAATACATGGATCACTTACACATGGTAAATAGATCTGAAATGGGCTAAATCCTTCCTTTCCCGAAGCCCTAAACTCCATGTCAACTGATGATTGGGCTGCAGCCCCAAATAACAAGGCGAATCTGAAACTGGGTGTTACACCGTGTCCTCTGATGTACCTGAAACCATGAATCAAACTATAAGCTAAAGCTTAGTGAATTTCCCCCAAAGTAACACACGCGGTAACATAATACAATGCACGCAACCAGGCCTACAACAGAAGGCTGGATCGCCACCGAGCCTTCAGCTCCAAGCTGGACCGCTCCGGAGCCTACATCATAAGTTGGACCACTCCCTTGGGCCTATAGTATTAACTGGACCGCCCATGTATCTTGACCTTCTGCACAAAGTAGGATTGCTTCATACCTACAACACATGTCGACATATACAAATATAACCAATAGCCAGCAGGTGTGAGTAATCATACAGATCTATCTGTCTATCATATCACCATTACATACAGGTAATCATACAGATCTACCAGACTAACATATAACCAACATAGCATCATCCTAAATACTAGGATACATAACCTAGTGGGTCGGCATTGGTGCCTTCGACCCACAAGTACAGTGAGGAAAACTCACCTCAATCAGCTATTAGAGAAAACATGAGCTAGAGCTGTTGACCTCCGAACTCCTCACACTATCAATTCACCAAAACAACCTTAAGTCAACCAAGGTAAAAACCTCCAACCAACAAGTCCTTAAACTAAGACTAATTCTTCTAACGGAAAAATACCATTTTTCCCTTCCTGAGACCTATCCTAATAGTTAACCAAAAGTCAACAGGTCAAAAGTCAAAGGTAAGTATACAGACCGAGTACGCCCTACATACTCCAGCTCTACGCCCTGTGTAGAGTGTTACTTAGCTTTTACGAGACAATACAGGGCTACGTGTTGCGTACCTATATGTACACCCTGTGTACTCACGTTGAAGTCAAACTTCTCATTAAGTGCTTAATATAGAAAGGCATCACGTCCAACTCTTTGATCTGTTCTAAATCAATGTCCTAAGTGATAACGTTCCAAACTTTATGCACTTGCATGACTTACTAAGGTTGAAGAACAAACCCTAATCTTATAACAACTTCCAAGGATCTCAAACTCTTGCATGGAGGGTTGTATATGACCAAGACACCATTTTGTGACTTAATACCCCTAAAATATCTTTGAAAATACACTCAACAAAGTCTAGAATCATTAATACTCAAAGAGACCAAAGTAATGGGATAAAATGGCATAAATTCAACATCTAAGCTAGATCTATGAACGGAGGAATAAAGGTACAAACTTTATACCTTTTGGAGATGAATGAGTGAGAAGAACTTCCAGATCCAAGGTTGGTTCAATCTTTCAAGCACGGCCACCGCCTTCTTCTTTCTTCAAAGGCACCCACAAACACACTTTTAATCTCATAATGCACTAATATGGGGTTAGGGTTTCAATGGAATCATTTGGAGAAATGGATCCTGAGAATGGAAAAGGCTTATGAAGGTTAGGGTGCTTAAATAGGGCTCAAAACCCCGAATTTAGGATTTGGACTCTGGTGAGTACATCATGCGTACTCCTATCTACGCCCCACGTAGTTCATTAAAGGCCCGTGCACATTTTCCTTTCTATGCAGCACGTAGAGGCTATCTACACCCAACGTAGATCAAAACTCCATACTTACACATAACAAATATAGAAAGGAATTACTTGCAAGGACTAGGTGTTACAGTACAATCTTTGATCTACAAGAAACTCATAAGAGAGAAGCGAGACATTTTGTGAAATTCCATAATGCAAAAGCAGGATGAAGGCACCTTCATGGAAATCGAACCGTCAATCACGCATCAGCGTCAGGTGAAAATGGCATAAAGGAGAAGAAGATGAGGATGCGTTTAAATGAAAGGGGGGGGGGGGTATCCAGGTTATTTTAATTGTTTTTTTTGTTTTTTTACTTAAAAAGGTAAAATTAAAATATACATGTGGACTCTTGGTGGCCATTCTCACTTCAACATTAGATACTTGATTAGTGAAACCTGGAAATTTAGGTTATATAACTCTTTTTAACAGGTCAGTTGTAAGTTTACTGGTATACACTTCATAAAAAAAACTTCAGTGACCAATTAAAATAAAATACAAGTTAATTGTGCTATAATGAAATTAACCCTTCTCTTTTGATGGAATAGTCGAGACATTATTGTTGGTTTTATGAAGGTTTCTATAACAGGAAAGTTTTTAGTGAGACCAAGCCTAGCATAGGCTACTTGTTTGAGTCTGTCATAATTATGTCGTTTGATTGCCTATCTAATAAGTGTAGAGGGTACAAAATTTGTTTGTTGTCTTTGAGGACATTCCCGTATATGGCTAGCTCAAAATTGTAATAGTCTTTATTTTGTTCCTTTTTCTTTTCTTTTCGGGCTTTAGCTTCTTGTTGTCCTTTAATATATCGTCTTTCATAAATATGTATGTGTTTATGTATGTATGTATGTGTGTATATATATATATATATATATATATATATATATATATATATATATATATATTCATACTTAGTTGTTCAAAAAAATTGGGTTTTATATAATGTATTTATTTTTATACCTCTTAAAATTCAAGAGTTCATCAATATTATTTATATAATATTATTTATATAGTAGAATATATGTCAAATGTTTACTCCACTGTTTAGATTATATGGAAAGCTCGAAATACCATTATTCTTGGGAGGAACAAAATGTGATATTCTTATGGCAGATGATATTAGTATTTGTTCCTTTAATTGGATTAAGAATATGTAAATCTAAGTTGCAGGCTTGATTGGTCTATTTGGTATATATAGACCTACAATTTGATACAAAATACGGGAATATACATTTTGGCTACGTCAAAACTAATTGCTAGTCTTTGAGGACTTTCCCATATATGGCTACCTCAAAATTATAACAGTCTCCGTTTTGTTTTTTTTTTTTTTTTCGGGCTTTAGGTTCTTGTTGGCCTTTAATATATTGTCAGTCATATATATATAGTTAAAAAAAATTGGATTTTATATGATGTATTTATATTTATATATTTTAAAATTCAAAAATTAGCCGATATTATTTATATAATAGAATAGATATAGATAGTATAAATATAGATTAAATGTGGCTAAAAGTTAACATTATGACTTGTTTACTCCACTATTTAGATTATATGGAAAACTCGAAATATCATTATTCTCGAGAGGAACATTGTAGATGATATTAGTATTTACTCATTTAATTGGATTAAGATTATATAAATCTAAGTTACACGCTTGATTTGTCTATTTAGTTCATGTAGACCTAGCAGTTTAATACACGAATTCATGTGTGACACGATACGATACAAATACATTTTGAAAATGAGATAAAACTTATTTCTCTTTGTATTCATGTCGTGTCAAATTCGTGTCTAACACCCGAAAACAACACAAATTGCCAGATCTAGGTGTGCATGTCTCCCATTTACAATGTTTTCTTGTAATTTGATTTGAACTCCTTATGTCTTTCGGTTTTTGTGCTAATGATATTTGCTTTCCAAAAGAAAAAAATAAAGTTTAATTCAAAATTACAAAGCGTGGTTTCTATATTCCGGGGATCTAAATACATTTTCAAAATTAAGTTGCCAAAACCCATAGCAAATGCCATTGGTTTCCTGAACTTTGGTTAGATCCTAATCTATTTAAGTCAAATTTCTAATACAAAATAAATATAAAAAACCCTAAAATTAATAATCCTCTTCTTTCCCAGTTCATCAAGAACAGAAATTTGCATAAGAAGCATCTAAAAATCTCAATTTGTGTGCATGGTACTCATGTGATACAAGCAATCTTCACTATGTGTCGTTCCAAACCGTGAATGTGGGAGCGCCGCCATTAGCCACCACCAGGTTGGCGGTTCTTGCTGGAAGCGTTGGTATGGCAGTCGGCACCCAACCTCCAAAACCGGATCCCTGGTGATGGTAATACAAGTTTCCATCACCATCATGTGACGAGTCAGCAGTAGTTGCAGTAGCCATAATCTGGTTCATATAACCCCCGCCACCATATCCCACAACCTGGTGATCACCTCCTCCGCCACTGCTATAACTATGTTCCATTGAAGATGAATCCAAATTCATGAGGTTATGAAGCACCGAAGAGTTGGGTGCAGGTTGGAAAAACTGATGAATCTGTTGAAGGTCTTGGAAACTTTGACCATCGGGTTCCTGTTGTTCTTGTTTGCACCATAATCGTTGTTGGTTCGAGGCGTTATAGTGTTGTGGATAGTGCATGCTAAACGGTTGCGCCTGTGCTTGAGCCAGGGCTTGGTGGTGGTAGTTGATGGAGCTCGGCCATGTCATGGTGCCATAACTGTTGAGTCCTTCGTGGGTCAGTTGGGTGGTCAAGTGATCATCTTTTGCAGCCCGAAGTAACTCAGTGGCAGCGGCTTGTTCTGCATCCTTGAGACGTTTAGCTGCACCACCAACCGGCAAGGTGGTGCTTTCAAGTATGCATTTAACGTCGTATCTGTTGATTTCAAAGTTTGTGACTGCATTCAGTCCACGGAATTTGATGGCAGCAATGTCATAAGCCTCAGCAGCTTCTTCCTGTGTGCCTGTTGACAGATATAAAAACAAGAATTACATGAACTTATCCATTGGATATATATCTAGATATAAATTGTATAGAAAGAAAAAGATTTAATTACCAAAAGTTCCCAAGTAAAGATCTTTGTTCCCTGCAACTCTTCCAATTCTTGCTTGCCATCTTCCATGTTGATGGTGTCTGCATGTACGTTTCAGATTAATTTCGTTATAAACCAATCAAGTCTTCTTTAAAAAGTATCATGAGTACTTAATCAAACCAATTGCATAATTAATAAGACACAATTTAAATTGCTAATGATACATCACAATGAACAAACACCATAAACTTGTCTCATCAAGTTGGCTGGATATATATTCTATGGAAAGTTGCTCAAGGTTAACTATAATTAACTCGTAATTAATTAAAAAGTCCGCATTCAGCCCACTCATATTATTAGTTCCAACATTAATTATGATTCCTATTGTTTATTATTTTATGTATAAAAAAGGAAATCTTCCAAAATATATTCTGACTCCTGTTGGTAAATGGCATGTGCAAACTGGTATCTTTTGGTCCCATATAATCACATATGTCAATATAGCAATTTATAGCATGCAAAAACTATTTAAAATGTTTTTTTTAATAAATAAATATATTTATGTTTTAGGTACATTAAGTTTTCTTGAAAAACATCTAATTTTCAATTATTTGCTTAATAATATGTACTTGATTTATTCTTTGTTTCAGCTTTAACAAGGTAAATGGTGATAATAAACTAATTTAATTAAAAAAGTGAGCAAAACGAGGAGCAAATAATATATTTAAAACTAAATCAAATTATATTTAAATGCTTATAATATAAAATAGAGAAATTAAATATTCTACAACTTATTCTTTCTATCCTTTACCCTAGCTACTACTGATAGATAATGATAAATATATAAAAACCTATTAATTTTATTAAATACCACAAGTATCATAAATTTTAAATGTATATATAAGAAGATAGTAAAAGAAGAAAATATAATGATATAAATGGTACATGTAGGAGGATGGTAGGGAAAAAAAATACAGGAGAATAATATTGATTTCTCTATAAAATAATATAACTACAAAATTTATAATTATTTTGATGATATAATATGATCAATTTATATATATATATATATATATATATATATATATATATATATATATATATATATATATATATATATATATAAAATACTAATTATGGCATGTTGGCCAATGATACCAGACATCATAGAAACAATATTTATTTTGACTCGTATATTACTCTTAACTTGTTATGCATTTTTGCTTAGTTATTTGCTTGATTAGGAGTTATTACTTGATGTTAATAGATTTGGGTTAGAAAGTTTTTTAAAACTTATTATTGTAAAATGTTATTTCAGACATCTAATTTGTAGTATATTAAAACATTTGGCTCATTTGACATGCAATAACATCAAATTTAAAACTATGTTCTAAAGTAATATCATATTCTTTAATTTTACGTATATATCTATGAATTTTAGTAGCATGCATGGCACAAAATGTACCTTGTCACACCTCTATAGATGGAAGCACCTCGAGAAAAACCGCTACTTTTCCTACATGAATTAACAAACAAATATATCACATGATATATACATATATAATATATGTGTAATTTATATAACTGATAACTTGCTTTGCACTACGCACCTTCTAAGTGATGCTACGTATTCTTGTCTTGTCATGTGTTTCATCTCCTCGATCTCCTTCTCATAGTTGCTAATCTACACATTTTTAAGATGGCAAATTAATTAAAATCACATTCAAATCGGCCAATTGATTTCGGTCTTCAGACACGTACAAGTCCATTATAAACGGAATTGATGTTTGTGGGAGGAAACAAACAATATTTTATGTTGCAGTTTCAAAAACTGTCCTCAAGATATGAAAGCAATCAATTCTAAAATTATTTTAAATACAAAATAAAAAAATTAAAATGGATTCTAGCTTATGTAAAATATATATTACAAACATGAACAAAAATAATAAATAAATGAAACTATGAAACTTACAGGGAAATTTGTCGTAGTTGTGGTACCCCAATATTTCAATGCAGCTAAATCATAAGCTCTTGCTGCCTTATCTTCTTTGTCGTAACCACCTACATTAATACAAAATCGATATCATGATATCTACACAAGAAAATAAGAAACACCTTTTCTGGTAATTAATAATACTTACCCAAATAAACTGCAAGAATATTGAATCAAATCCCAGTTGAATCATTTATTAATCCATGCGAAAAAAGAGAATAAACAAAATAAATTAAGTTAGTAGATGAATTTATTAATCAATTAATTCAAAAAGCAAATTTAAAATTATTTCTTTTTAATTTATATATAATTAATTACCTTGTCTTCCTTTGCGAACTTGTCCTTCTCTTCTGCAACTATTGTCCCATAAATGAGCCTCGTATCTCCCCGTCCATCTGTGTCTGCACTACCCAAAAACCCTAAATACTTTTAGAGTAAAAATAATAATAAAACAACGAAAATAAAATGGGAATTTATAGAAATCTCAAAAATGATATATTAATATTAATATTAATTGAATAATAAATGGATGTTACCTTGTGACACCACGGTAAATGGAAGTTCTTTGTCCAAACGTATCGATTGATTTTCGGGGCACCACTTCCGTCGTCACACCGCCGCTTTCACTATCTACGGTAGTTGCCACCTCCATTTGCTGCCGTTTATTATCGGAAGAAGAACTGTCTCCACCGCCACTGACAACAAACGCACCAGTATCGCCGGTGCTCATGGATAAAGATAGCTCGTTGCTTCTACCACAACCAGTAAAACCACCTGTCACCGCCGTCCCTGTCCCGTTGTCGTTTTCTTGATTAAGCGGTGGTCTTGTGGTAGTGGTGTTTTGATTAGATGGAGTTGGGTTATTTCTGAGCCAGTTCTTTATCATGGAAAGACCAATACTACTGTTATTGGTCATGTTGTTGCTTCCTCTGGTGGTATCGTGTGTGGTGGTTGTTACCTCTGTCACCGCCGGTTGAGGCGGAAGTTGCATAGTGGAGTACATATAATCTCCGCCATTACCAACACTTAGAAAATTTTCGAACTTTGGAGGTTGTATTTCAGGGTTTTCACCGTTGCATGAACCACCACCGGCCATTAAAACCGACAACTCCGAGCTCCCTTTCATGTTCCAATCTGTGTTTTCACCATAAAAAACAATCCAAAATTTTATTTCTGTTTTCTAGGGTTCTTTATTTCTTCAAGGTGAACAAAACCCTATAAAAATCTTGTTAAAAAATAACAAACTAACCATGGTGATTATGATAGGGTTGAAGTATGCCATACGGAGGATGGAGGTTGAGAGAAGGTATGGTGGAGTGAACGGCGGTGGAACCAAGATCAAAGCATTCACTACCGGTGCCGGAAATGTCATCAGAGTTGAAGTTATCAACAATAGATGTTTGTGAATCAACCATTTGTTGCTGATCTTGAGGTGAGAGTGAGAACCCTAACCAGTTGTTCATGGATCCTGCCATGAAAACAGTAATTAAAAGGCTTTTGATTTGTATTTAATGGGGGGGTGATGAGTTCATGCACACAGATGGATTAATGGATGATCAGAAGATGAATGTTTGAGGTTTGAATCAAAAGAAAGAGAGGATATGAAGGGTCTATGAAAGAGAAGAAAACCCAAAGAGAAAAATCAATTGAAACACCCCTTGTTCATACTATATACTTGTTTGTTCTCCAAGAGTACCTAGATACAATGAACTTTTATATCTTTTATAATTATAATCAGTATTGGAATTCGAAACTCTATGCGAAAATGACAAATCTTTATACTGGGAACTTAAAAAATATGTAATTATGTTTTTATTCTAAAAATTTTAAATATCATTATTCGTTACGTAAATTGGTAAGAAAACGACAACAAATGTTTGCCCCTCCAAGCTCTATCATTTAAAAGACCAAAGGGAGTGGGCACGGTTTAGTTGTGGTTTTGTCACGGTGCACGGTGCAGTGTGGGAACACCACCCCACAATGCTGTTTCCACTGTGGTTTGGCCGCACTCGGCAAGAAACAGCCGTGGTCTCTCTCTCTCTTTCTCTCCATGGTTTTACCACACTCAAACCACAACTATACTCTATGTGGAGTGTTTGCCATGGTAAAACCATGACACCACTCCCTCCGGCCTAAACCTAGGTAGTATAAACTTCTAAAGTAAATTTGTAGACCAAATCAAGTTGTTAATGTTAAAATTTGGTTATTAACGAATGCAAAATTAAATATCTATCTATTTTTATGTTTATTATGAGCTATAGAACCCATTAATTGTTTTTCTCCATTAATTCTTTTAATTTTGATATTTATCTAGATTTACTGAATAAGAAGAAAAATAGGAGAATATTTGAATTTTGTTAACGAATAATTAAAAAAGTGGAGAGAAATCAAATATCCTTCTACTTTTTGTTTAATTCTACAAATCTTCTGTAGATCAAAATAAAATAAAAAAAGATTATAAGGGAGAGTTAGTTGATTTTACATGTCACTATTTTATAGTTTTGTATTAATAGGAAGATAAATACGAACAAACAAGTAAAAAAAACAAAAACAAAAACATTACACTTTATTATAATCATGATAATATTAATATAGAATGATAAATAAAATAGCGTTGTCTCATTTTGGATGATTTCATGCATAGAAAACATCCGCCGTTTTTATAAAAAAATATATTTATGATAATAATAGTAAACATGGGTATAAATATCGTCCGATCCAATAATAATAGTAGTAGTAATGGCTTGAGTCACGCCTTACAAACGATATGGCTCACCACGACTTGTAAAAGCTTGAGCCTTGACATCGCCGCCAAATCACACATAAAGTTATTTAGAACCTTGACTTTAATCATCATGCATTTATATGTTTGGTAACAACATCATGAACACCCTTCCTTATGTAACGTAGACCCCAAGTATTTGAAACTTTCATTAAGGTGTAAGACTTGCTAACTGATACACACTTTTACTAGCTTCTTCAATATTTCGTTCCCTGCAAAAAGAAACATAAATATTTAGTCTTAATTGTATTGATCATAGGCCGCTTTCCTTCCAACGACCTACTCCATATATCCAACCTATTGTTGAACTCAATCCTATGCTCGACCGCCATAACAATATCAAGACAAAAAAGAATACTATGGAAGCCTTTCCTTGAGTATATCAATCAGGGCGAAGATGTAAGGACTAAGTGATGATCCCCGATGAAATCCAATTTCCATTGTAAAGAGAATGTGTCTCCTACTAAGTACATACACATGTATTAGTTCTACAGAGCATGTCATGTTGAAACATCCCAAAAATTTTTGTTTGAAAACTTTACTAAACCATAATATCAAATATTAAAAGATAAATCCATGGATCATGTATCTCAAAATGTCATAATAAATTTATCAAATCGAAACTAGTGTCAAGATCATATCAAAATATCAGAGTCTAACTCCCAGGCTAAAACTGTGGTGTGTGCCATGCCATCATCCCGAGCCCTTCCCTTTGCTAGCTGAAGTACCTGAAACCAAAACTGAAACTGTAAGCACGAAGCTTAGTGAGCTCCCCCAAACTACACATACCATACCATAACATATAAAGTAACTACTGGGCCTTGCCCACTGCATCGGACCGAAGTCCGGAAACTGCATCAGACTGAAATCTGGAACTAACCAGGGCCTTGCCCTCTGCATCGGACCGAAGTCCGGAAACTGCATCGGACCGAAGTCCGGAACTAACCAGGGCCTTGCCCTCTGCATCAGACCGAAGTCCAGAAACTGCATCAGACCGAAGTCCGGAACTAACCAGGGCCTTGCCCTCTGCATCGGACCGAAGTCCGGAACTGACTGAACATAGCATAACATAATCATAACTACTAGCATAAACACATATACTGCATACTGCATCAGACCGAAGTCCGGAACACATAACACAAAGACATGCTGAATCACAAAGACATCGAGCACACTGAACTACTGCATCGAACCGAAGTCCGGAACTACTGCTAACTTAAACGGGTCGGCATTGTGGCCGTAGACCCGTTCCTACTGGAAGGAAACTCACCTCAAAACGCTGGCTGCTGAGATGCTAAATCTGAAACTGTCTGACTGCTGCTCCGGAACTCCCCGGCTACAAATCCCATAAACACTAAATCAAATACTGATAACTACTCTCAAGGTAAAATGACCATTTTACCCTTCTGATCAGAGTCAACGCTAAGGTCAAAGTCAACTATCAATCAACCCAACTCGCCGAGTCCATCTACCGACTCATCGAGTTCAAACGGTCATAACATCGGGACATCTCGATTCTACTCGTCGAGTCTCACCTTGGACTCGTCGAGCTCCTTTGTTCCGAGTCTCACTCCTTTCCAACTCGCTGAGTCATCTCCTTAACTCAGTGGTATCACTCGTAATCGAAGAAGGGTTTGGGGACATCGATCCGACTCGTCGAGTCCCAAGAACAGCTCGGCGAGTCCATTGCATGTTCAGACTATACAGTTGTTCCTAGGTGATTCCACTGCCTCTAATTCATAGATCTGGACTCCTTAGGCTAGAATAACACGTAAAGTTGCTAACTTTACGTGCATGCATGATGCAATGAAGCTAAATCACCCAAAACAAGCTAGAAATGAGAGTCTAGGGCATAGAATGGGATCTTGGCTGAATAAAGGTGGTAACTTTGAGCTTCTTGAGCTTAAGAGTGCCTAGATCTAAAGTCCTTATAGACCCAAAAGCTCTCTACCCGAAATTATCTTGGAAAGGACCCTAAAAGTGGCAACAACAAGCTTTCAAGAAGATCTAAGTGAAAATAAGTCAAAGGTACAAACTTTATACCTTCAAGAGCTCTGAAATGCAACTAAAACTCTGGATCTTCTGCCTCTTCTTGAATCACCAATGGATCTCTTCCTTCTCCTAACTTCAAATCACACAAAATGGCAAAAAAGGCTTTAAGACACTCAATGGTTGTTAGGGTTTCGAGAATGGACTGTGGAGGTGATGGAGGCTGGGGTGAGGACTCATAATGATGCTTAAAATAGGGTGCAAACCCTAAGGATTAGGGTTTCCTCCTGATGGACCTACTTGCCGAGTCCATTTCCGACTCGTCGAGTAGTCCACTTAAACCCCGCGGTCCAGCTCGTACCTACTCGACGAGTTAGGGCTACCAACTCGTCGAGTAGCTCTTATAAAATGAACATTTAGAGAATTACTTTCGTACCAGGAATGGGGCGTTACACATGTATAGACTTGAAATAACATCTCACTACCTTTTGATCTTTCAAGAGTCCTCCTTAATTAAATACAATATAATATTACAACTTTGAAGACCAATATGAATATATGTCAAGATCTTAAACTAATTAGTTTGGTATTACCAATATAAGAGAATGACAATTTTTTAATGTTATGAGAAAATTCAGATTCCCTAACTCCCACGTCGTGGAAAAGCGTTTCCACAACGTGGAAATTCAAAAATATTTGTGGAACGAAGAAAACAGCTACCACGGCGTGGTAACTTTTTTTCCACGTCGTGATGATGCTGAAACCCATAAATAGAGCCGAAAATGAGCCCTAATGGCATATCTTCAACCCTAATTTGTTACCTACAAAAATAAACCTTAAAGAAGCCCTTTTTGAGGGTCTAGAAGGCGGCCGGAGGGCCGTTAAGCTGATATGAGTGAAGATCTGAAGGATTAGAGAGTCGGTTCATGTTAGGAATCATTCGGTTTGTTGTTCCGACCATGATTAGCATTTCGTTATGACTTTCATATGTTTGCTTTCTGATTAGGGCTTCAAAACCCTATTTCTTTGTGTTAGACTAGATCAATCATTGAGATTATGGATTAATTTTCTATTAAGATTATTTATTCTTATTTATCTAATTATGTTTGCTTATTAAAAGATCTTCATGTATTAAAATTTTAATCCTTTTTCTTTATTGTCGAGTATTAATGTGATTAGATGATCATTCTATCTTGGTGTGCATGAATCATATGAATCTATGATCATTAGATTTTTATGACTAGGATTTTGACCATACACCTAGGGTTAAATAGAAAAGTTGGTAACTTTAATGTGTGAGCTTATATGTGATGATCATTCATGTATATAATTGGTATTGTGAACATTAATATCAGTTTATAATTCAAGTCTTGCATAATTCGAACTTAAAACTGATTTGCATGATTATTTGTTTACTTGATCACTAAGCTAATAGTTTTGTTAAAATCAAATAATTAGTAATCTGATCATGATGCTAGTCATATTAGGAATCGGTGAATAATGAATAATTATCCATTGGACTTATTAGTTAGCCATTATTTTGAGATGAAATCCAGTATGAACCAAACTATCCAAAGTGATTTGTTTCCATTCATTTTATCTAGTTAATTTATCTAATTATTTAATTGAGATTTTAGAATCACAAACCCTCACTTTTATTGCTTTCTGTTATTTAGTGTAACTTATAATAAAAAATTCCAAATTAAATCGCTACCGTTCCCCAAGTGTTCGACACCTGGTCTTACCATGTCACACCCCGAAACCGATGGCGGAAACGTTCCGGGGCGGAGGACGTCATGTATAGCATCACAACCAATGAATAACAGCAATCATAGCAAACACAACCATTACAGTGAATACTTAAATAA